TTTAGCTCATTTCTTGCCTTACCCAGAGTCCTGAAAAAACCTTTTTAAAGTTGTGTCTTGGCCTCACTCCATCCGTCTTGCCAAGCCAGCTTCTCTGAAATCCCCATGTGCTCAGCAGGTCAGTCTACTAGACCTCCAGATGACAAGAAACCCTATGGTTCCCTGTGATCCTATAGATCCCCTATGGTTTCCTACCATAGACATAAGAGGAAGAAAGAATCCCACAAGAGGAAAGAAACAAAGCATCCTTGGGATAAATGCAGGATGAATTCACTTTGGCATCTGTGGAACTAGGTAGACAGAGTCAGGTGCAGGGACACCTGCAGGGAAATTCAGGTGAGGTCCTCATACTTTATGGGCAGTTTGATTAGTTGTAACTGTGAGAATGATGACACCTGTAAACTAACATGGACAAACTAAGGGCCCTTCCAAACAGTGTTTGTGAAAATGGTAGATTAATATATGAAGGCAATGAAAACTAGAGATGCAAATGGCTAGCTAGAGATTACCCCCAGCCAGGTCCTTTGAAAGTCTCATTGATCCTCACATCAAGAGGAGTTGTGGCTTCCGTAAGAGCCACACTGTGTCTGTGTTTAGCTTGACAAATCATCCTTAAATGACTGTTAAGTTTTGCACTTTATTCTTTAGTGAGCATTGTTTATTAATACTGCTTTAAAAATGCACTCAGCATATATGCACGGAAATGACTTGAAGCAGAATACACAAATACCATGTTTTCCTCTTAACAGTGGGATTATTTTGTTTTTGGCTTATCTATGTCTTTTAATTTTAATGGTACAGCAATATGCACTTATGTAGTAATGATTTGATGGATTAAAATGACAGTTTGGGAAATGACTCAGGACTGCTGTAATTGTGCTTGTAAAATGTCTAAATGTGTGCTGTGAGTCTGTGAAGAACGAAGCTGGAGTGTAGCAGAAAAGGGCTGTCATGGAGCATGAATCCTCCATAATCGAAAGAAAGAGAGGTGGTTGGGATTTTGAGATGAGAGGGAGCTCGGCACAGGGCACCTCAAAAGACCCCAAATGGCGGATTTAACTGTGGCTCCCGAGAGCTGCCACCATGGCCTGACCATCTTTAATACATCAGAACACTGGAAGGTTCATTCACGGCAATGAGAGCACTAGGAAAGGGCGCCAGGGCTTGCTCCTCTCTCCCAACAATGCCTGATTTTTGGATTTCTCATTCACTTTAGCTAGATTCTTATTCTTAATTGCATTTGGTTTCAGAAAAATAAAGGTAATATTTCTTCCACTTCTTACCTGGCTCAAGAAAAATAGTGAAAATTAAAAAGTTATGAGTAAAGGTTGATGAATGGGTCTCATACTATGGTCAGATAGGAAGAAATTCTCATGTTCTATTGTATGGAAGGATATCAAAAGATTGAGACATAATGAACTGTTTGTTTTTCTAAGAAAAAGCTGTAGGAAAGGATCTTTAGATACTTTCATCACATAGAAATGGTAATTGTTTGAAGTAAATGTGCTTACCTGTATTGAATTTTATTTAATGTGCATCTCTACCAAATTTCTTATAATTCCCCAAAGTAAAATCAAATAAAGAAAAACCAGAATTTTGACCAGTTAAAGTTAAAATTATGCAGATAGTGCAAGTTCCTCCAAGTTAAAGCAACTCATTTCTACTACTAGAGATAGCTATCAACCAAGGTCACATTTTCAGAGCAGGTGCAGAACAAATACAGATTTCTGCCATTGTGAGGCTGGGAGGAGGCCTGCATGGGACTGGTTGAACAGCACATCACTCTTATTTGCCTGCTGTTGACTTCAAAGGGCTGTATTCATCTTTCTGTTTATGCATTGGCTATAAAACCATTGCTTTTGCTTGGTATAATCCTTCAACCTTCCTTTATCTATCCTTTAGATGAGCTTCCTGTGGATGCTCATATAAAGATATAAATTAATTCAATAAAAAAGCTTTTATCATTGATATCCAGATGACTAATTTTGTAACTGAAAATGTCTACTGTAATTGAGAAAGAGCAGCAGTTGATGCAGGTGCCGCACAGCGTTGGCAAGGGGAAATGGCATCTGAAGATAAACACTCGTAAAATGTCTAATATGACTTTGAGATAATCTCCATTATATTTCAACAGTTTGTGCTGAATTCTCCTCAAGGATCCAGTCAGGTAAAGAATTTGGTCCTCCAGAGTGACTGAAATATTAACTTACTTATCCTATGTTCACATACACACAGGAGGTTTAATGGTATGCTTTATCAGGCTGGATCTACTTTAAAATGATCCTTTGTTTTAAAAGAATGATTCTTGTTTCAGATAAAAGGCCAGCGGATTTTCTCTCTTAACCCCATATTATCTTATTTTGAAGAACTAAAAAACCAGTTCTCCAATTCTCTTGTCTCCAGAGATCAGAGACACTACTTTGAGTAAGCCTAGTTGTTTGAGTCCTTCTAACTACAACCGAATAATTATATCATGTAACTGATAAAATATTGTCTTTTCTTATTCCTCAGTTACTTTTCCAGCACTCGTTTATCATATTCTAATACAAGTATTTGCATGTTTTCAACACTTATTCTATGCATGCCTCTGTTTTGAACAAACATGCATTATTTTATTTCTCACACCGGTTATATAAGGGATGGGACAATATCTTTTCATTTTAAATAGGAGGCAAACAGAAAGTGGGAAACTTGCCCAAGTTTAGTAGTAAAGTAGCGCTAAGGCTCGGACCCCTATCTTCTTTGCACTTGAGGCCAAGGATTAAAGGCTGTGCTCACTTTGGAAGCATCCAGTAAGCTCACCACATAAGCACTCTATCACTTCGTTCTGTTTCTGATTTTTGACTGATACTCGAAGCTCTCCAGCTTTGTTTATTTTCCGATAAATCCTCTCCTATCAAATCACCTTTACGCTCTTGTCCGTACTATGAGCCTGAGAGCAGAGACCGACTGTGTATGTCACAGGCATGGGGGAGGCTCTGGCTAAGGGCAATCTTACAACTATCTGTCCAACAGATGGAAACAATTAGTGAGCTTGTTTAGGATGTATATGGAAAGAACCTTAGCAGAGTTTGGAGGTCTTCTTAGGGGTTCACAGAGGCTGCACTGAGAAGCCATCACTGCCTTTGGGTTTTATAAACAGAAAAACACCAGGAGAGCAGAAGGAGGGTGTAAAATCTGAGAAGCGGGGTATCTGAGTAGGTTTAGGGAATGCTGAATTCATTTTATGTGTCTTCCAGTGCAAAGGCGTGCTCACCCAGCTGGTGGTTCCTCCTGGGCCCCAAGCCCTCTGATGTGACCCCTAAGGCAACCTTTGCTATATTCTTTATAATTTTTTATTTACCCTTCAGTATCTCCCATTAGATGGTGACAGCTTTGATGCAAGAAACCAGGATGATCTGATAGTGAGCATCTTCATGCAGAAGTTCTGATTTATTTATTTCTGTCTTGTAGTCCTTTTTTTTTTCCCCCACAAAGTCTTGCTTGACGTTTCCAATTGGTGACTCTCCATAAACGTAGGAGCAATGAATGCATGGGCGGTGGGGGGAGATGGATGAACAGATTCTGAGAAGTGTTTTTACACTTAGTTTTAAACTTAAGTTTAGGACAAACAACAAAAGTAGTTAAAGTAATCTTAGGCAGTAATAAAAGCATAGTGTCATTTTCTGAATATAAAGATCATAATTGCAGAGAGTAATAATGAACGTATGGATGAGAAATTGAGTTCTGAGGCATGAAGTGACTTGCTCACAGTTATGCAGCTAAGTTTCGGCCAAAATGAGACTTGAATTTGGTGACCATGGTTTTCAGCTAAATTTGTTTTCTACACTGTCTCTTCTATACTGTGCTGATCAGATCATGGCTGCAGTGATTTGTGCAATTCTGAGCTCTGCACTTACAGATATCTATATATAGATATATGTTGAAGGGAGAGTAATGTAGGTGCTACAATTACATGGAAATAAATCACATGAAGAGTAGCCAAGGAAATTAAAGATGCTTCACTTGGAGAAGGAAATGCTTGCAGAGGGGCTGTGGTGTGAGTGGGAAAACATCTGTCTTTATATTTAAACGTGTGCCATTATTCCTTTGTTTCAGAGAGGAAAAGTAGTAACCATGGATAGAAAATGTAGAGAAGTGAGTATTTAATATGGTTAAGAGTCTTCTGAAAAGTTGGAGACCCAGCACGAATGTCTACAGTAGAAGAAATAAGCAAATAAAAGTTGAGTATTATCTGTCAGAAGTCCCTTTAGAGAACTTGTTTCATTTACATCCCACTTAATGTCTCCCTAGGTCGTTGACTAGCACCTGGCATAAAGTATATGCTCACTTAAGACCTGCTGTGCATCTTTTATTAATGAGATTCTTCCATGCAGTGAGTGCACACGGGGTTGGGCAAGAGTGTATGTGTTACTATTTCTAGTGGCTTTCTAACACAAAATTTATGATCCTTTATAGAAATTCACATGTGGCAATATATTGCCTTGATATCTAACAATGTAATTCATTTCACTTTTGTAAAAGCCAAATGTAAGTGGAAGTGTTATTTATTTTAAACTACAAATGTTGCATTTCTTTTTCTTTTCCTTTGGGAGGAGGAAGGATTTGTTTATCACAGTTACTGTCTTACAGTGTTGTTCATGGCTAGTTAACATTTCTTATACCTGCTAACCAACTAAACTTCCACCTGGAAATTTCAAAGAAATTTGCTTGTACAAGAAAATCACAGGACTAATTTGTGGACACATTGAACTAACGGTTATACCAACAGAGTCACATTTTTCACAGTGAGGACTAATCTAAAAAAAGAAAAAGTTTTTTCAAGCCTTAAATCAAATTTAGTTTGTCACCTTGGTTTGCATTTTAACAAACATCTGAAATATCACTTCAGAAAATGTATTTTTCACTGAATATTTTATATTTGGAATGTGTTGATTTTCCATTTGTGTCTTTTTTTTTGGAAATTGGAGTATAATTCCTTTCAGTCCATGCATAGATAATTTGAAGGAGACAGGGCTTTATTTAGTTTTACTCATATTAGTCATCCAAAGCTGTGCAGAGATAAATGACAATATTTTGAGACTTTTCAGTTGACTGTTTTCCAAATAAAGTGATCACATGTGTTTGTATACTCAAGCAAAAACTCATACCAACTTCCCTACAAGGTCTTTTAGATTCTATGGAATTAATTGTTTTTCTTATTTCAATACGTAAAAACACTCAAAACAGATTTCTCTGTTTTTTTTTATGAAATAATGTCAACATCTTAGTTTCATTTCAAATCCTGCTGATGCATTAACCAAAAACTATTTGTGGAGTGTTTGCAAGTGCAATTTCATTCCCAGAACCTTCCACTACAAATATGGCAAGATGCTCCTAAGAAGTCACAATTTTGATGTTTCACATTTCATTTTGTTAATTACATTTTTTATTAGTTGTTAATTCCCCACTTATCTAAATTGCATAGATTTTTGTTGCTTAGGTATACCTAATATGTAACTTGCAACTTGCTTAGAGCCTTTGGATATATGTAGTTAACTGAGAATCTAAAATATTTCCAAATATAAAGCAATATCTTTTCCCTCTCCTTTATGAGATATAAAACATTTTCCATTCCCTTCTTCTTTGATTTAATTTATATGCCAGAGATTTTTCTGCTCTTAGATTGAAAATAGAAGGCTGGGGAAGAAAGATGAAATAAGATGATTCAAAGATCTGAAATATTTTATCTTCACTCGATATAAAGTAAATTATTTTTTCTCGTTTCCAATAACCATCATTTCCCTTGAACTTGGAACCACTCAAAACCTAGCTGCTCAGTCCTGTGTGAACTTATGTACTGTCTGAAGATGTGAAAAAAGATGAAATGCTGTTACTTCCACATATTTTGCTATCTAGTTATATTTACAGTTATAAAGTACCGCAAATTTAACAATGCCATTTTTTTTCTCATCATTGAGTATTTATTATATATAACAAATACATGGGAAAGAAAAAACTATATTGTGTGATATAAATAGTTTATTTACATTACAGAAAAACATCAAGACAATGTATACTATTTCAAATATATCCATACATAATCAAATATAGCTGTAGTACATGTTTTCATTGGTGTAGATTACCACAAATGCAAGGCAACATGTGTAGATCTCTTGTCTTATTCTTTTGTCTGTAATACTGTATTGTGTAGTCAAGCACTCGGTAGTCCAGCCACTGTGATACATGCTCCCTTTAGATTAACCTTGTGGACGCTCTTGTTGTGTTGTCTGAACTGTAGTGCCCTGTATTTTGCTTCTGTCTGTGAATTCTGTTGCTTCTGGGGCATTTCCTAGAAGGTTGGAAAGTTTACAAATCTTAGTCCAAAGTGATCACCTAAAGTTTGGTCCTATAATCACAGAATGAAGCTGTGGATTACGCAAATCATGAAAATACTTCAGATGAGATAGTTTATGAGTAGAGGCTGGTGTTTTTTTGAAAAAAAAATCATTATTTTTGTGTCTCCTGGCGGGCATCAACAAATTTCTGCTGAGAACTGAATGACAGAAGGGGAAGTTGAAGAGCACATCTACTTTGTCTTCAACTGGTTACTCACTAAGGCACAAAGAGCGGACTCAGCACAACACAATCAAGCAAGTTGTGAGCTTATCTCATTTCACTTCAAAGGTCTTCAACGAATTTACACGGTAGATGTCCTAAGGATGAATGTTATATTGGCATTTCAATGCTACAAGTTGAAATCCTATCAAACCAGAGAATAAACCAACTGTTAGTATATTATATGTAATGGAAAGGTATATTGTTCTGGTTGAACCTAATATAATTTTGTGCATGAACACTATAAGCTAGACACAGAAACGGGTACCAATTATGTAGCTTCTATAAAAAGTTAATGTTCAGTGAAATTACTTTGAAAAAATCTTTGACCTAGTACTTCATTTTGTAATAAACATTACAAACAAGAACAATATAAATTTGACATAAAATCCTATTATAACAAGCTGTGTGATAACAGACTATGTATGACTATACATATGCCTATATATATATATATATATATTTTATATGCAATAGACAAGTGTGGATGTGTGTGAGTAGCTTTATGTGAAGGAAAGAGTTGTTGAAATGAACATGATACTGGAAACCACATCCCAGCAAGTGGGATCTGCAGACAAAAAGATTGAAATGCCAACTTCTCAACAGGGCAACTCTTTTTATTTTGTAATGTATCTCTAGGTGTCTATGTTTTTCCTGATAAATTTTGTGTTTCAGAGCAGGTGTTTGACTAAAATAGTAAAGAAAAATAGGGAAAGAAATCAGAAAAAAAGAAAGAAAACCAGAAAAGAGCCAGAAAAGAGGAGACCAGATGGGAAATCCATCAAAATAGAAATTGAGAATGAGACCTCTGATTGGCATAATTTTGCAAGTTTTCTAACAAGTGGATAGTGGGCGATAGGCCCTGAGAAGTGTGGCCAGGTCACCAGGGATTTCTGGAAAGTGGGGTTAAGGAGATGACCTGGTTGGAAAATCTGATTTCTAAGCAAAAGTTTCAAGTGAATGAGATGAATCCACCATGAGAATTGTTGTGCTTTCTTGAATAAAACAACTCCTGGAAGAGATTTATGAAATGTTTTTCAGGTTAATTTAACTTATGTGCTATTTGTCCTCCTTAACAGTAAAGAGAAGATAGTTTTTTTTTCTCTTTTAATAAATAAAAAAATATGCCTTGAAAAAGTAGATTACTCTAATTTGGAACTCAGTTTAGGTAACCTTGAACATCAGAATACACAAAGCCATGACCAGCAGTGTGAGTGGTGGTAAGTGCAGACGCTTTGACATTTGATGGCTTGTCTGCTCTTCTTGTTCAATCACGTGATTTCAGCTGTTGTGTAACTTTTCAAAATATGCAGTCCCTATTGTAAACACATAATTGTTCCTCTTTGTAATAAGTACATAGAAGTAGAGATGTATACAATCATAGATACTGTATACACACACACACACACACACACACACACACACACACACACACTCCTGGTAAGATCAGCGCCTTATAAATTCTGGGCGATTTTACAATGTATAGAAATGAAACTTTAAGAACAGAATTGAAAAAACATATTGTATTTAAAATTTTACATGTTTATCAGTGCGTAAAGTAGCAAATTATTATGAGATTATATGCATCATATGTGGATTTAGTTTTTTATGTACCAGTATTACCTAGATAGCAGAAAGCTCAAGATCCTTAGAGTAATAAGACACAATTTACCATCTTTTCTGGTTTTTTCTTCTTGCAGTGAGTATTTTTACTTTCTGCAGTTATCTTTCTGTTCCCCAGAATCTATTTTAATGTAATTCATCGACTCAGTTGGCATCTACACGTGAGAGTCGAGCTTATGAACTCAACTTGGTTTAAAGCAGCACAGAGATCCAGCCAATGATCTTCCCTTAAGCCTCTAGGCCTGGTGAGGATTTATGAACCATATTTTGTCTTTTTCAAGAGCAAATGCCACACTTGTCTTCAAAGACGATAGTGCAATCCAGCTACTGCGATGTGTTATGGCCTCTATTTTCTAAAGATACGACTCCGTCTTTTATTTTCTTGTCTTTTGAAAACAATTTTTGGGGAAACTTTCTGATTTACTGTGGAGCTATAGAAATGAATGAAAGTCTAAATGCCATGTGAATTTGGTGAAAACTTTGAACTACTTTCCTGGAACTTTTTAGAGGAAAGTGAAATCAAGTCAGAGAGAGCTTTGAAAAATTCTTGTTACACAGGATGCCAGTGATACTTATTTGGATTGCAGTCTGAGATTTGGTTATCATGGCTTTGTATGCTAATTAAATTAAGAAAATACCCAGCGTACCCTATCAAATCCAGTGCTAGATACCACTAAACAATCATTGCTTTCCTATTAAAATTGGATGAAACTTTGGTTTCTCTCTCACCTGGGTGTTCAGAAAATAATTACTCTGATGGAATTTGCAATTTTCACTTAAAAACTTGTACTATTTGCTTCATACTTCTAAGTATCAAATCTTCTCATTTATATCACATAATCTCTCATTGCATATTTTTTGCATTTTATGATAAGAAGTTACTTTGTCACCTTAAGATAAAATATATATTTGGTGCTTATGGCTAGATACTTAAAATTGATTATCTGAGAGTTAGAAAGATGTTATAAATATGAGGTAAATTTTGTTACTATTCTAGGTCCTGTTTAAAATCTTTCTTGACTTAGTTTGATATATTGATTTTCCTGGGTGAGGATAAGTTGGTCATTTAAATAGTCTGTTGGTAGGCTGGATGAAGACTGACCTCTTACAGTTAAAAGAGAAGGGCATATTTAAACAAAGTTGATATGTAATAGGGAAAACAAATTTTCTCTTAGAAAATCAATAATTCTCATCTTATTGCAGAAAAATAACATGTACCACTTCCACATGAAATTCCATGCCTTTTCATTTGACTTTTCATATAGTTTTATAGTAAAGAAATGGGACTCGAGGAGAATAGTGGAGTCCCAGAAGGTCCTTCTCATCAAGGGGTTCAATTTGACACAGAACGCATACCATGCATCTGTACCTGGAGGCCACTGGGTACTATACTGACCTTGTGATGCAGAGGACCACCACACAGATGACTGCGATCTGAATCGTCCCAATGACAGCCGCAATTAAGACATATTGAAATCGCACAGGACCAGGGACAACGTACAGAACACTGTAGTCCTTTTTTTCACAGTGTTGTCCAGTATATCCGGCATCACATCTGGAAGGAATGATAGTATAACAGTTACCTGGAGCTGCTGGATTCATGTTTATAGTGGATCAATAATTACTTATCCCTCTAATTGTAGTTAGAACTTCTTGTCTCCATTTCTGAATAAATACAACTTAGGAGGCATGGTACTGAACTACTCATTTTCTGCTGGATTTCGTTGTGCTTGTTGTTTGGGAGAATTATTTATTTTTAAACTTACAATAATGGGTTATGAAGATAGAAGGATTGCTGGATAATTTGTCTCTGATGTCAGCACACAAAGAAAATACTTATTCAGAAATAGTTGTTTATCTTTTCAGGTGAGATTTACACCTCATTTAGTAAGCTCTTTATTCAATCCAAGTCAACACATTTACTTGAGAAAACATTTGTTTCTGAAGTAAGAATATAAAAATTAGGCTAGTTCCTTGTTCTGGGTAAAACATCCTCTGCACTATATTATGAGAATGAACGTTCAAAAACATTAGAATCAGAGGTATAATAAGATTCACTACTTCAATTTGCTGGTCATAAGGGCATATGTTGATGTTATAGAGTTAAATTATGTTAGAGAAAAAAAATGATTATGATGTGAAACAAGCTCTGGGCTATTTACCTGAGAATGGATATTGTGCCTCACTTGCTGAATCCCACCCAGATGCTCAGGCAAACAGTATACATATATTTATATTTAAAAAATTTGCTTATTTATTTGAAAGGCAGAGAAGAAAAGATTTGTTTGTTTATTTGAAAGGCAGAGAGAAAACAATCTTCCATCTCTGTCTTACTTCCCAACTGACTAAACAGTCAGGGCTGAAAAGGCCAAAGCCAGAACCAGGAATTCCAACTGGGTCACCCATGTGTGACAGGAAAGGTACACCCATGTGTACACCTTCCCATGTGCATTGTCCAGGAGCTGAGTGGGTATGGAGCAGCTGGGGTTTAAGCAGGCTTGTGAGAGGAAATACTGATGTTACAGTGGCAGCTTAACCAGCTGGCCCCAGCAAATCTGTGTATTAAAGTAGCATTTGGCAGTGAAATGACAACGCAGTTTTAAAAGAAAAAAACTGAAGATAATCAAATGGTCATTGATTTTGTGAGATTCTTGTCATACTTTGAACTTCTGGGACTCCACCCAGACATCTTTCCTCCCTGCATCAAGATGGGTTTAATAGTGGCCACTCTGCTGAGAGTCACACTCACGCTGCTGGGCTGCATTGAAAGGCAGGTGCCCATGTATTCGGTGAAAGGAAACACGAAAGAAAGACCTTTCTAAATGTCATAGGGTAGGAACTGGGAGGAGAGAGAAAAGACAGCATTTTGCTGTCTATTAAAACACATCCTATTTTATTGTATGACACTTGCATGTTAATTCAAATTACAATAATTTTGATAATTCACTTTGACATTACATACACCTTCAACGTAGCTGAAGCAGATATTAATGCTTATGAGCAAACTGCAGAAGAGCAATAACTTCTTGCCTCGACTAAGTGCAACATTGGGGAGGTCTGGCTGATCATCTTGCTGTGCAGGGCTCCCTAGCCAGCAGATTCATAGAGAACAGACACCAAATGTCTCACAAAAGATAGAACACTGTTATTAAAAGATCTGGTGGAGTCTGAGAAGGAGAACCTCCCAAAACCAACTATGCTATCTCCTGTACAGATGGCCTCACCTGTTTGCTTATCTGATAAAGATTTAATGAACACCTGATACATGCTGACACTCTTTTAGGTTGATGGGAAAGAGTGCTGAGTAAAGACACAGAGGAATCTCCTCTTCAAGAGGCTTGTAATAGTGCAAACGGCGTGTTAGATTCTAGTAGATGAATCTTTACATTTCTTGTAGTGATATATGATGCAGTGCATGGGTGTGTAAGGTATGCAAATTTTTGGTTTGTGTGTGTGTGTGCAGGTGAGAATTGTGTTTTGCAGCTTCTCGCCTATTCAAATATAATCCCCACTAATTCTGTGTAAACATTTTTAATTTACCTATTGCATTTTTACCTTAGCTAATTTAGAAGTTGAGGTGTGAGAATCCTTACCTGCAAGATGGCTGCTGCATATTGACAGAATGCTCACACTTCCCGTGCAGGCAGAAGCCATTGTAGTGTTCTGGACAAGGTATGTGGTGTTCTCTGGCACTTTCTTCTAATTTGTTAGCATTCTCTGTGAACACAGATAAAAGCAAGAACCCCTCTAAGCACAATCTCAGCTCAGCCAGATCAACCAGTACATTAAGAAGCAAAGCTACAGTATGCGTAGAGATTTAAAAGGGCAAAGAACTAAAAGCACACATCTTCAGAAGCAAGAAGGAGAAAGAATTGAAAGACACATATCTTAACAATTGTGTTTAGAGATGAAACTGCAAAATTACCCAGTGTGTTTCATGCAATTTCCTACATCTTTAACAGCCAGTGATGTTTCTGTGAGTTGCCAGACAGCTTTAATTTTCCTTGTGTAGGGACTGTACATTGATCAAAAAATAATGTAAGAGGAAATATTCCATTTCTTTGAATTTCAAAGCCCAGAATAATGTCTATAAGTGTAAATTGCTATAATGCCTAGATATTTTCTCAATGTGAGAGCTTAAAATTAAAATATGGCCATATTCAATTGTTAAACAGACATTTTCCAAACCAAATGCAAATTTCAATAAGTGTATTCTTTTTAAGCTTTTTTAAATCTACTGGGAACATGATTTGTATTAGCAGCCATATTTTTTATTGCAAAAATAAAACTACTGAAAGAAAAATGTTATTTCAAATTCTCTTATCTAGATATTCACATAATATGTGTTAAAAACTTTAAATATATTATATGAATTATATTTAAATACATATGTATGTAGGGTTTTCTTTGGTTTATTTTATTCATTTGGCTCACTCTCCAAATGCCTGGCAAAAAGTGAAGATAGAAGCCAGACACTTGGTCAGGGTCTCCCCTGTGGGTTTCGGGGACCCAGCTATTTGATCCATCAGTCATTGCCTCTGGGATGTGCATCTACTGATGCAAACTGGAATAAGGAAGAGGAGCCAGGATTTGAGCCTACACACTCTCACGTGGATTATGGGAGTCCCAAACAGCACCTTAACTGTTTTCATGTCTTTCTCTTTTTTACATATTCCTCCTATAACAAAAAAGATTTGTGTTTTTTCTTTTCTTTTTATCATCTGAAATCTGATAGTCTTCAAAGTTTCTGCCCAAATACATGAGAAATGGAAGTTTCTTAACTTCAGTCTGAAGACACTACTCAGTACTGCAGTGAATGGTCAACACTAAAGGGAGACTGCAAGTGAATGCCTATTTGTACGAGGTTGATTATTTGCTATTATTCCCATGCAGAGATTTATTTTTATTATAGAATATTGTTATAATTTTTACTGGCACTCAAGGCTGATGAGCATATTCATCAGGAGACAAAAAGGCTTCTGGTATTAGTGAATCAGACAAATGTATTATTTATATGTAAGTAGAGCTATAAAATACCTACACATTTTAGGATCTATATGCCAAAAGCAAAACATTAAAGTTTGAAGTAAATTGTTAAATATGTTTAATGGTTTCTTATGTAGGGATATTTATGTACATTATTATGATGGGTAATGTTTCAAATTCCATATCCAAACTGATAAGACATTTACTACAAGTACACTAGAGAGGGTGTACATGGCGTTTAAATCATTCATTTGTTTAATGTCTGTGTTTCTTCAGCTTTGATGATTACTGATCCTTCATTTGCATTGTATCTTTACACTGATAGATACTATTAAAAGAAACAAACTGTTCCATTTCAACTGAAATGACTAGCAGCATACAGAACTTTATCGGTTTCTCCTGCTTTTTTTCAAATTCCTTGAGGCATGACATTTTTGATAGTCACATCCACAATATGCAAAACTGTAGTGGGGTAATGTAAGATTAAAATTCCAACCTGCCATCAGCTGACTGAGATGAAAGTAGGACAACCACAGGAGTTAGTTGTACCTTGACATAGTTTGTGGTCATTCATTAATCCATGAGGGAGACTGGGCTTATTCTGTGCAGGGTTAGGGGACTGCAAACACGAGCAATCAAACCATGCACCTGCTGTTTAAAGAAGGTTTAGCTGTGGGGTTTGTCAGTCCCACTGCTGATGTAATGAACCAGCACTGATTTTCACTTATTTCTGGCTCTCCTTCCCATAAAAAAACTAGTCAACTCCTTATTTAGTGTTCGTTAGTAACCCTCCAGTGCTTCTGCACACCTGTATGTAACGAATTTTCTGTGATTTGCTCACATTGCCATTACAACCATCTTTTCAGTCATAATATTTTTTCCCAACAGATCTTATTATGGCCATTTTTCTTTCTGTCAGTTACAAAACAAGATTGAGAATTTTCTTAACACAAAATACATTTTTAGGCCACTTTATTTTTAACACTGTTTCTTATGCCATCTTTATGTTTTTCTTTTCTTGTTTTGTACCATATGCGTAGTTATGAACTGAAGTCTAAGGGCAAAATAAAAGCTTGTTTCATTGAAGGTACTGCCTTACTGTGGTGAGAGCTGGATACTTTGCAAAGTTCATTATCCAGCCAGAATGATCACATGGGAGGGGAATAGTTTCCATCATAAAATCTACTAATTAGTTTACAGCATTCTTTGTGAGCTTGAAGTGTTCTATTATGCTACTTATAGGATACTGTCAAATAAAGAAGCAGAGAGATTGAAAAAGAATGAGTGGAAAAATTATCTCTGGGCAAGAAAATGAGGAATAATTGATCTATGTCAACAACTCTGTAATCAGTCCAACCAAGTAAACCAGTTGATTGAAAACCTGAATATATAACCACTTCTAGTAATGTAATAGACACATTTTAGAAATTAGATTTAAGTATATTAAGAACAGTAGATGCACAGAAATCTACTAGTCCAATAAATACGTGTATGGACAATGATTAGTATTTGTGGTACTGGGTTTTATGTGTAATGGATGTTCCAGCAACAATAAAGCATTTAAAGGTTTAAAATCACATGAAAGCAGTACTTTGGAAGATTGTGTGTTTTCTCTAGTTGCTGATGGTTTAGGTATTGATTTCTCTGTTCTCCATTTAAAAGGAGGTTTAATGTAAATGTGTGGTCTTTCTTCTCAGAGAGATACTGGTGTGGTTGGAACCCTTCATGTCTATTTAAAATCCTCAAGAAGTTTTCTATCTCAATGCTTAAAATGGGTTGTTTTGAAAGAGATCTTGACCCTTTTAGGAACAATTTCTGATATAACCTGAGTTCTTCGCAGTAGTGCTAATAGGATTGTATGCTCACTGCTAGTCAACATTGTAGTCAAGAGCTTTTGAAGTGGTCTTTTCTATATTGCACCACTCCACATATTGTTCCTATCCTGTGCTTTCAGAAACATACAGCCAAACTCAGAGAGACAGAGAAAATAGTAATAGGACTTATTCTGGCAAGTCAAGTAGGCAAGTTAAGTGGGTAGAAATACAGAACTAAACTTAGTAGTTCAGACAAATAGATATAATTGTGTTTATGTGTGCATGTGTGTGTACACACTACTCTTGGTTTCCTTTACCTAAAAATCTATGAATAAGATGAGAGAACTGATTGAAGTAACACATTACTGATTAAAGTAGAAATGCAGCGTTATGAAATTTGAATAAAACATAATACATCTAAGCAAGGCACTTTTCCTTTTGGACATGGTTAGAGTGTTGCCAAAGACGTTCTGACTCGAGTCCTGTCATCTTTTCAAATGCTCTGGAGGTTAGTGTCTGGAAAACTCAACTTGAACTTGCAATCCCAATTGCAGAGACATATACCAGAGTATTAGTGTCTAGTGCTCTTAAGTAGTTACTCAATCAACCTATTTCTTTTATTTTGATGCTCTACTCTCTAAATAGTTTTAAAATAAAATAAGTTCATGTCTATAAGCCTACAGATTGAAAATGACGTTGGCAGTACAACATGAGTATGTTAGCCAATTGACAGTTACACATTTTATTCAGTGAATGGATTACCTGCAAATCTCTATGTATTTCCTTTGGAGGGAGCATAAGTAAGTCTTCAGTAAGAGTTCTTGGATTTTGTAGGGTCAAACTTTCACACCTGGAGGCTGCAGTACCCACTGTTCATTATCATCTTTGAGGCTTTTCGGAAACTGATTACACAACCAACTTCTCTGATAATAGCCCCACTTTTTTTTTAACCAGGTCTTTCTTTCAAATATATAAATTCACTATACCACTGATTTCCCGGAAAAAGCGTGGATTGGTGTAAGGATCTCAGAATAAGTTGAAAGAGTTCTAAAGTAAAGGTTATGTCAAGAATTTAGTGGCTGTTTCAGTGAAGTGGATTGCTATTGCACATTTTTTAAACAAGTGGTTTCAGTTAGAGAATGAACTCTGCAGTAGCAGTGTTTTTCTGATACTATTAAAAAGGAGCTGTGTTACATTCTCAGAGAAGTCACAGACTGTGAGTGTATGGATCAGATTGTATCAGATCCCTAGGTTCTTTGAACACTGAGAGTAATATTCATTTCCATTAATGATAAATTACTATTGGGCTGGCACTGTGGGGTGGTACAGTAGGCAAAGCTTCTGCCTGCAGTGCTGGGATCCCATATGGGCACTGGTTCAAGTTCTGGATGCTCCACTTCTGATCCAGCTCACTGTTGATGGCCTGGGAAAGCAGCAGAAGATGGTGCAGGGCTGAGCTGATTTCAGATGGGCTCAGCTCCAGCTAGCAAGTGCCACCATTTGGGGAGTGAAACAGAGCATGACAGACCTCTACTTCTCCCTGTAACTCTGCCTTTCAAATAAGAATAAAATAAATCTTTAAAATAGATAGATATTAAATGGTTACTAATGTTAATGGTAAAATACTATTTTTGATACTCTAGAGGAGAAGGAAGGAAATTAAAAATATTCTTTAGTTATATTAAACAAAGTAAATCATCTTTACCTAAATGATGGAAACATTTACTTTTTCTGAGAGTATGAAATATCTGAAATTCTAGTTTTGTCTATAATTCAGATATTCTAGCAAAAAAATGACCTTTATTATGTATTATCTTCCTTTTGGGTGAACAATATGTTTCTTGAATCAAAATTCAATTTATATCACCATGCTTTCACATAACATTTTATCTTGACAAGCACATGCATGTGAGCAGT